CTCCAAAATACAAACAGACCTGGACAAATTCGTTCAACAGAATGTCCTGTAAGTGAATGAGTTCAATAAATGTTCTCCACGTTTCCATCACTGACAGTTAGCATTAGCACAATAAAAGCTAAGATGATTTATCTTCTTTACTTTTCATAGCTATTATTGACTTTATTATCCTATTTTACGGTTTCGTAAGGAGAGTTATTCAGTAGGCCTATTGGAAGTGCTTTTCATGGTGTTATTTGCTATTATGTCTTTATCTTGAATGTTATTAGGTAATTTTCTTCCCATTTTAAAATGGCGTCGACCTATTAACTATACTGTTTTCATTATGATGACTTAAAATATGATAAACAAAAGTAAGTTAGACCTTCTTTTGACAGTCATCCTGATCAAAAAGTGACCTATTTTGTGTCAATAAACCTCAAATCACATAATCTATAAATCTATAATTATTATGTATATTGTCCTTCATAATACTGACATTCTCAGATTATCCATGGACGACAATATTTATCATTAATGATGATTTAGATCACCTCATTCATTCACTTTAATGACAGGCTATATAAGTTAGGAAATAAATAACCCCTGTATACAGGGGTAAACTGTACACATAGATGTTTTTTTATGTATTTTTAAGAAACGACAGATATTATTGTAAATAATGTTGTTGTTGTTGAGTTCAATTGTTACAGATCATTGTAAATGAACAGACGGTTATGGAGGAGGCAGCTTATCTTTCACATTTCTGTAGATTTACTGAGGAGAGGTGGATTAATTTAAAGAGGCGGGCTAATCACTTGTGTCAACTCAATTTGTTTCGGTAATGTTTATTTAAGGACAGACCCTGCTAAACAGGACGACAAGAAAAAGAAAGCAAGGGAATGAAACACAAATAAACTAGAAAATTATTACTTTACTATCCTAAAGGACAATGGTGATATCTTTTATTTGGATTGTGCAAAACAATAAGGATATTTAACTACATGTACACTAAAAATACAGTTGAAGTCAGAATTATTAGCCCCCTTGTTTATTTTTTTTCCCCCAATTTCTGTTTAAAGGAGAGGTTTTTTTCAACACATTTCTACACAAAATAGTTTTAATGACTTCATCATTTCTAATTTATTTTATCTTTTCCATGATGACAGCTAGCAATATTTTACTTGATATTTTTCAAGAAACTTCTATACAGTTTAAAGTGACATTTAAAGGCTTAACCTGGTGAACTAGCAAGTTATAATTACCTGGTAATTAGGCAAGTTATAATTCCGTCTTTAACTGTATCTGGGGGAAAATAGTGGCAAGTAATGTAGATTCAGTATTGACATATTAAATAGGCCATAGCAACAGCATTTTATTGACAAATGTAGACATATTAGACCGCTTCTTTTTCATTTGCATTGGTTTTACTTACATTCATTTCCTTTGAAATGCTGTATTTTTCCAAAATGTAAAGTTTATATGAAACTCTATATTCATTTGTCTGTGGTGAAATTAAAATAAGTACATAAATATGCAGTTTAATTTATAAAATAGATCAGACCTTGGTAACTTTTTTTGTCTTCTGCTTCATGTAGAACAAAAAATAAATCACTTAAAATTGCTACATTATTTTCAACAACTTTTTTCTGTCAATACCAGAATATAACATTACAATGTTTTCTTTTTGAATATATAGTAAAATGTAATTTATTAACTGTCAAAACTGAATTTTCAGTGTCAGAAATCATTTTAATTGGCTGAATTGATTAGCATTTTTATAATATCAGTGTTCACTGTAAAAGAGATTAGTTGACTACCTAAAAAAATAAGTAAACCCATTGACTTAAAATCGAGCAATGTGCATAATTTAAAAAAATAAGTCAACTTAATAGTTCCAAGTTCCAACATGTTTACTCACTTTTTTAGTCAACTTGTCACATTTAACGCAAGGGGTTCACTCACTTTTGACTAATTTTAAATTGATTAACAGTGAAATCATAAGTCATGTTGCTTAATATTTGTGATACACTTTTACTAGGATTAAAGAAATGCAAAAATCACAGCATTTATTTGAAATAGTGATCTTTTTTTCCTTTTTAATTGTCTTTGATCAATTAATTCCTTTCCCCCACAAAAATACTGACCCCATACTTTTGAAAGACATTCTATATTGAATGCAGATGAGAAAAACATAAACTTACAAGTAACACTTTAAAAATGAAAATATACTTCAAGTTTCTAAATATATCTATAGATTCTCAATACATTTCATCTTCTGAAACGTAAAAATATTATGGCTTCCTTTAAGTATCGCACATTACATTACAGGCTTTATCCATCATACACAACCACATACATTGCGTAAAATTATTTTGTTGTTTTGCTCGCACACCGTCAATAAACAAAACACAGTCCATTGCTGAATAACAGTGCAGGTCCAAACACACACTGTGTAAACACTACTATTTGTCCTGTCACTTGACACATTCGCTTTACATAAGAATAGCAGCTTGCATTCAGTTTTAACAGTAAGATGATGTAAAACCCCAAATCAGAAAAAGTTGAGACAGAATGGAAAACACAAAGAGAAAGATGAGATTTCTAAATTTACTTGTATTCCAAATTTTAGTTCTTGCAACACATTTTAAAAACAGTTGGGACAGTAAAGCATTTACCACTTTGTAATCTTGCCATTCCTTTTCACAACACCTAAAAGATGTTTCGGGACTAAAGACACCAAGTAATGAATTGTTTCAGGGGTTATTTTGTCCCACTCTTCCTGCAAACAAGTCTTAAGGTTGGCAACAGTACCATAGGCCTTCATTGTTGGAATTTGCACTTCAAAACGCACCACTAATTCTCTATTGGAGACAGCTCGGGACTGCAGGCAGGCCAGTCAGGTACCTGTATCTCCTTCTTCTACAGCCAGGACTTTGTAATGTGTGCAGAATGTGGTTTTGCATTGTCTTGTAGAAATATGCTTGGTCGCCCCTGGAAAAAGAAGGCAGCATATTGTGCTCGAAAATCTCTATGTACTTTTCAGCATTAATGGTGCCATATACTTTTGCCAAGGGCATTGACATAACCCTATACCATGACAGACCCTGGTTTTTGAACTTGTTGCTGGTAACAGTCTGGATGCTGATTTTCTTTTTTGGTCCGGTGCACTCGGCGTCCATTTCTTCCAAAAAAAAAACAAAACCCTAAAATACTGATTAATTTGACCTCAGCACATGTTTCCATTGTTTGATGGTCCATCTCAGATGCCTCCAAGCCCAGAGAAGTGGACGATGCTTCTAGACACTTAACATATGGCTTCCTTTTGGTACAGTATGATTTTCACAGGCAAATATGGATGTAACTACGTATTGTGTTATTTGGCAAAGGTTTACCAAAGTAGACCTGAGCCCATTTGGCGATATTGCTTATTAATGAATGATGATTCTTGATGCAGTGCTGCCTGAAGGATTGGAGATCACGGTTGTTCAGTTTAGGCTTGCCCCCTTGTTCTTTACGCACTGTTAAAGGTGAAATATCCAAATGTATTCCTATCTTTCTTTGAGGAAGATTGTTTTTTTTAAACATTTGAATAATTTTATCATGTATTTGTTGGAAATCTGGAGATTTCCTCTGCCCACCTTTGCTGCTAAAGGACTAGACCTTTCCTGGATGCTGCTTTTGTACCAAATCAAAATTACAATCACCTGTTTCAAATCACAGCATATTAAACCAATTTACCTGATTACTAGCTACAAAGTACTCCAGTCCCAACTTTTTTGGAATGTGTTGCAGGTCTGAATGAAAGGAAAGGATGTTTCTTTACAAATTAAATGAAGTTGACTAAACAAAACATGAAATATTTGGTGTTCAAATTGTCTGCAATAAAATACAAGTCAAAGTTAATTTAGAAATCACTACTTTCTTTTTTATTTGTGTTTTTTCCATAATGCTCCAACTTTTTCTGATTTGGGGTTGTATTTCCATGAAATATCATAGAAAAGTGTATGCCTATATGAAAATGACCATTAGTCGCAGTGCTTCACCAGAGGCACGTTGGTCATTCATAATGCATATTTCAAGAGTCACATTGGGTTAACCCAAATGAAAAAATCCTATAGTAATTAAGGTCTCACTTTATATTAGGTGGCGTTAACTAATATCCACTGACATTACATCTGCAATTAATTTCTGCAATTTTTATTTCTTAATTACATCTTTAATTACACTGTTGACCATTCCTCAATAGTATCTGGATGCAGCCTTTATGATGCAAGCTGAGATTGCATCACTCAGTGATACATTGTCAGACACAATGCACTCAAATGGAGCGAGTGAAGTCACTGTGAGGGGTAGGGTTAGGTGAGCCCATTAAAAGCATTGGATGCAGCTCAGATTGCACTGCACCAGGTCTGCATCCAGACCCCTCTCCCATTCCTTACACTCTAACCCACCATTAAACCTACCCATACACGCAAACCTGTCTCTAACCCTACCCAAATCCCACCTCAAGTGTTCTGAAATGCATTATGAACACAGTAAGTACATTGTATTTATGTTTTTGATCCAAGTAGTAGGCCACCTAATATATAGTAGGATTGTATTTTAAAATAAACTTTATAGAGTTTTTGAACCACACTGTAGTACAGTATTTAAAACAATCTGTTGTGGTAAATATATAGTTGCTATAATAACACAACATATAATAATATTAAGAAATCACTTAATAATGAAATTTTGTACAACTATAAGGTACATTATAATACAATACACCACAGTATACTGTTGTAAAAACAAATGTAGACTACAGTATTTACTACAGTTAGCAGTTCACTATAGTTAATACTACATCATGCTGTAGCTTTCTTTCACAAAGTGTTGTAAATACAATATTATATACAGTTTAAATCACGTTACTATAGTATGGTTCAAAAATGCTACTATAAATTACTGTAGTCTTTAAGTTACATGTTGTATGTAGCCTTGTTTAGGTCACATGGAAAAAAAGGCCAAGAGAATACACTGCGATCCTGATCCAAACCGAGTTTATAAAATAAAAATAAAAAGTCTGCAATTTGAATGTCTCTATTTGCTATTTTGCTGTATTGCTGCTTTTTTTATGCGGGTATTTCTGTGCAATCCCATAGGGCACGTGGGCAGCGATGGCACCCATTTCCACGGCTCCCTCCACATGGAACATCTGGTCATCAAAGTATATGTGGGGCCGGATTTTCTCCAGCATGGGGCCTTTTGGAGCCCCGGCCAGGAAAAGAGCCTCGTCTGTTTCGAGTCCCCAGGCACGGAGAGTCTTTAAGGCGCGGATGCCTGAGCTGGCTGCGCTGCGGGCCGTCACGAGGTAGGTGCGAATGGGACAGTCCAAACGGTGGCCTTTAGCGTAGAATTTCTTCTGAAGCTTCCCGAGCACTTCCAGAAAACCCTTCAGTGGCCCCTGTGAAGTGGACAGAGACATTATTTAGCATATATGAAGTGTAGCTTAATAAATAGAAAGTTCTGTCATGAAACTCTAGATGGCACAAGTTGATATGGTTCACCTAAAAATGTAAATTCTGTCATCTTTTTTTGAGTTCCGCTATTTATGTTCAACACAAAGATATTTTTGTAATTATGAAAGCATCTAACTTCTATAGCATTAATGATTTCTGTATTTATTTTGCTACTATGGATGTGAATGGTTACCACTTTACATCATTCTTCAAAATAGCTTCTTTTGTGTTCAGAACAAAACAAGAAACTCCTAAAAGTCTGAAACCACTTGAGGTTGAGTAAATTGTAGGTAAATTTGCTTTTTTGGGAGGGTGAACTATCGCTTTTACTTCATTAATAACTCGATCATAGTACATAGTGGTGCTAATTGGTAGCTGTAGAAGCTGTAAAAAAGAAGATATAAGTTGTACATCTCTGTTGTTCTTAATGCGGCCAGTAGGGGGTGGCAGATATACAGCCATATTATAATTTGAATACAGTGTGAAGTTTATACTGGATTTGGAAAATCATGCGTTACAGTCTATTTAGAAATCCAAAGTTTCCAGTGACGGTTGGGTTTATGGGTAGGGGTGGTGTAGGGCCATATAATAAGTGATTTTTGATCATGATTATTATTATGATAATGTTCTGAAGGCTCTTAATATTACTGTACAGGCATAACACTGCATGGGTCAGGATCTGCCTGGCCCCAGGTCTGCAGCCTTCCCATATTGTTTAATGGGGGATGGGATACTATTGCTATATTTTAATACTATTAAGCACTGCCAATGTGACAATTAAATTAAAATCACAGAGAAATATAAATATATTTACTTTAAAAATGTGGTTGTATCTGTGGAGTCAATATAGAGCATAGGTAGATTGATTTGGTTATGTCATTTACTACTTCATGGAAGAGAACAAAACTAAAGATAATTTGGTGCTAATTTTTTTTTTAGCTGCAGCTATCTGATTGGTGGATATTTTGTACAGTATCATGGTTATTGTAGAATTTTTGTAATTTATCAAGCACAAGTGCGTTTTTTTTTAAAGTTTCATTAATTTTTCAACATTGAATTTTAAAGTTGAATTAGATATTTAGGTTCAATAAAGGCATGCAGAATCTGTAAATAATCTCAAAGTTCACAACAGGTTTGTCTTTAAAGGTTTATAAACATAAAGGGGTCTATTATAATGATCTCGGCGCAGTCGAAAGTGCATGGCACAAAAGCATTAAGGATGTGTTGGAATTCACTTTTGCTATTGTAAGAGCAGAAAAAATATGGTTTGCACCCTGGCGCATGGTCTAACTGGGTTGTGCTTATTCTCTTAATGATTTATGGGTGTGTTTTGAGTATAATGTGCATTAATCCAATCAGAGTCTCATCTCACATTCCCCTTAAGAGTCAGTTGCATCGCCATGCGCATTTGCTATTTACATGCTGGACTTTGTAAATGGAAAAACTGAACACTTCACTAGCAAGAAAACAGTTAACAGACCATCTGCAGCGCAAGGATAAAGAACGAGCCTCCTCCATTTTGCATCTTTACTTTTACTTTACTTTTCCTCTTTACTCTTTTACTTTAATGGATAAGGAAATGGCGTTGTACGCACTACACTTAAGACACCCATCATTAATGAGGTCATCTACAGCTTTAATTTTGTTTGTTAAGCGCAAAGATTTGTTTCAAATCTATTTGTAATTCAGTTTTAATTAATAGCAAACGAATGAATGAACAATAATAACACAGTGTGGTCAAAAAACTGAGTTATATCCAAGCACACGTCCTGCTGTTAAGCCCCATATGGTTATGCAGATGTCTTCAAAACCAGGTGGACAAATCTAAACTTGTTTTTATTAAAACAAATATAAATATGCATATAATAAATAATACTGCTAATAATAATAACAACATACAAATGCAAATTTTCATGAATATAATAAAAAAAGCCAACACAAGATGAAGTAGGCATGGAGGCAGTGGTTTTTATATTTATGCATAAAATAGTATTTTTTTTTACATTTTGATCCTTATTTTTTTTTTAATGTAGAGATATTTGTGTATTGCTGTATCTTGTGTGTATTAAGCAATGTGTAACCGCTTGAACCTGCGTAGGCACATAACTAACGAGCTCTGTGATTTAGGACTTAAGACCTGCTTTCAGTTGGTCAATGGCGCAGTCTATTTCAGTTCCTCAAAATAGCAATGCGCCAACAATGCGCCTTAACACACCTCCTTTCTAGACCGGCACACCCATGAGTCTACAAAGTGGCGCAAATGGATTTGCTATTTAAAAACATGGTGCAAAGCGCGAGAATTAGTGTTGTGCTGGTCTAAAAATAGCAACAAATCACTCCAAACACATCTTGCGCATTATTGTGCCGCGTGTATGATAGGACCCATAATGCTTTAAGTGTGCCACACTTTTGAGATCTGATAAAGTAATTAAATAAAGTAATCTAATCTAATAAAGTAAAAACTAATTACAATTTTAAATATAAAAATGACTCTGCTCTTTAGCTTTCAGTTACAAACAGCTCAGATGGGTAACTATAAAACTACATACATGATCCAGCAATCTGTTTTCATTTTCCCTCTCATGCTCGAAGAACTTGTCCAGGCCGTGGGCTTTAAAAATGCGCTCAGACTCATCAGAAAAGAGAACGGCATCGCCATCAAATGCCACTCTCAGCTGCGTCTCGGACACCTCGATCTGTTTTTCTGGCATAAACATGGTGGCTGCTGCAATTCCTGTAAGAAGACACAAAAACAAAAATAAATCTCACCAGCCTAGAGGAAAAACACAGTGATGAACGACATTTAAAGTGTGCTCTTTAAAGAGATTAGGGCCCATTAAGCCTCAGCAAAACAAATAGGTCATTGGATTGCTAAGCATTCAGTCATTCTGGAGCTCAATGCTTTCCCACATTTCAATTACTTTATTTCGATTTTGAAATTAATTTGTGCAGTAATTAATATGTCAATCTGTGATACCAAACAAAGCAACACACAGTGCGTGGCGCACAGTCATTTAATGAAATGGAAAACCGCAAGAGTGATTCCTATGACCACTGAGTCATTTTCATAATTCAAAATCAATGACAGGTCACCTCTCAAATGACCTCTCCAAAAATACCACAAGCCTAATGTCTGAAAAACACCTGTTCAGACTGTTCAACAATTTTTCACTGAGTTAAAGGGAAAGTTCACACAAAAAAATGTACATTTTACTTACCGATAACTTCAAAAACCAATTTGACTTTCTTTTTTCTGCTAAACACAAAAGAAGATATTTTGAAGAATGCTGGTAGCTGGCACTCATTTATGTTAAATATCTTCTTTAGTGTTCAACAGAAGAAAGGAACTCATAAAGGATTAGACCCTCATGAGGGAGAGTAAATGATGAGGTAATTTCCATTTTTTGGTAAACTATCCCTTTAATTCAAGTGCGTAGCATCATTGAGGCACATAATATAACTTTTACACATTATTTGTGAATCAAATTTGATTGACACCTTTATTGGTAAGTCTAAAAAAAGTCATATAATTATTACCTTTAACATCAAAGGTAACTTTGGGCATGTTATAAAAGTGAAACATGTAGCACATGTTGCAATAAAATGTCACATTTCTCTTTTGATTTGTTGAAATAAAATGTGCTACAAGATTAAGTACAAAACACCTGCTGTAGTTATCACATGTTTACGTTGACAGTGTCCTAACCTTCAGAGAGGGCCTCCTGAACCTTTTCGGCATCGGCAGACAAATACAAGTTTGTATGAAACGCTTTCAGGTACCCAATGGGGCTACTGCCTCCCGTCATGCAGAACCGCTCGATGAATAGATCTGAGGACAAGAGAAGAATATTAACTATTCATGAGAGCCAGTTATTATTGCATTTACAGTAGTACATTTGGCAGAAACTTTAATCCAAAGTGGGTACATTTAAATTTAAATAATCTCTTGTTTATTTTTGTCTATTTTTATTTAGAGTACTCTGCTAGGTCAAAAAAAGGAAGTAGTCTAGTGGTGTCACTATATTTAGAAGAAAATGAGTTATGAATGGCATTGTAGAAATGCAATTAGTAGTGAACCCTGAGAATAAAAGCCTAAATTAAATCTGTTCATCATAAGAAGCAACTGTCTTTTCAGAAAGTTTGGATTAATGGTCTGATTTTTATGAATGTATTCTTTTAGCCTCTTTGTGGACTTTTAAAGGAATGGTCCACCACAATATCATATTTTTAACTTTAGTTGATGTGTAATGTATCTGTGTGAACATAAACAACATCTCTAAATGTAATACGCTCAAAGTTCAATGCAAAGGGAGACATTGGCTTTTACAAAGTTAGCTAAGCAAAGTTTGGCAACTACAAAAAATACATCTGGGTTAGTGAAATCACTGTTCAGCTGTGTCCTCTTCATTTTCTGTCTAATTCAGGCTTACATGCTAGTAGATGTTAAATTCTAGATCTGATATGCGTCTGGCCAGAAGTGCGATATGCACAGAAATATATCAGCATTTTTTATGAGACTGCATAACAATAATTCATATTTTTACAGTACTGTGACGGTTGGGTTTAGGGTTGGGGTGGGGCTAGGTGTTAAAAAATACAATTTATTGGGTAGTTTAATAGATAGCATAAATAATGCTCATTCATTCATTTATTTTCTTGTCGGCTTAGTCACTTGACTATGAACCGCCAACTTATTCAGTTCGTTTTACGCAGCGGATGCCCTTCCAGCTGCAACCCATCTCTGGGAAAATGAATAATCCTCGGTACAACAAATTTTTTGTTTGTTGCTGTGATGGTTGAGTTTTGGGTTGGGGTGTGGGTAGACGTTACAATACAATAAATGGGAAATTTAATGAATAATGATAATTCTCTAACTTCCAGCCGCAATCGTATCTGATCTAGCAACAACCCTAGTGATGCATCCTGGTGGCGTGGAGGCAATCCGCAAATCACAGAATTTTATGTTAGCTGACCAATCAGAGCCTCTTAAGGGCGGGCTTTTGAAGGAACAAGAAAATATTCATTCAATAATTTTCTTTTCGGCTTAGTCCCTATTTTAATCCGGGGTCGCCACAGTGGAATGAACCGCCATCTTATCCAGCATGTTTTTACGCAGCGGATGCCCTTCCAGCCGCAACCCATCTCTGGGAAACATCCGCATGCACTCATTCACACTCTTACACTACGGACAATTTATCCTACTCAGTTGACCTATACCGCATGTCTTTAGACTGTGGGGGAAACCGGAGCACCCAGAGGAAACCCACGCAACGCAGGGAGAACATGCAAACTCCACACAGAAACACCAACTGACCCAGCCGAGGCTCGAACCTGTGACCTTGCTGTGAGGCGACAGCACTACTTACTGCGCCACTGCGTTGCCAACTATAGGAAATATGATTGTCGTTTTCATTTCAGCTGAGTAGCTGTGCATAATCTAAGTAAGATATATGAAAAAGTAATGTGCATTTTTACCAATGAAACCCATAAATTGTTTTGCATCTTATAAACACAACCACCCCTTCAAAGTACTTTTATTGTAAATAGAGTCTTTTACATAAGTCGTATATTTGAGTAAAAATTTCTTAATTTGTGTTCTGAAGAGTCTTACGGGTTTGGAACAAATTAAGGGTGAACAAACGATGACAAATTGTTAATTTTGGGGTTAACTGTGCCTTTAAATACTAATCAAAATGAGCTTCCGTCAAAAATAACACAGAGCTATGTCAATGGAGTCAAACAAGAGCAGCAGATCCTAGATTTTATAAACCAGTCATCATAGATGTAAATATAGTTGAGCAGCTCTCAAATTTGAAGTATTTATACACAATTATTGAAAATAAACTTTAAACATGTCATATAGATCATTAATAGAGAGTGTTATCACATATAATATTAACACAAGACTTAAACAGAAGAAGAAACTATCGCAAATTATCAACCAGGCAGACAAGATAACTGGTTACAAGCAACATTCCCTGCAGATTCTGTTTGGCTCCTTTATGGAAAAAACAGAAATTGTGATTTTTTTTTAAAGATAATACACATCCCCTTCACTCAGCTTTTGGAAATGTTACCATAAGGACGCAGGTTTAAAATTCCCAAAGCCCAAAGAAAGGCTTATTAAAAGTTATTTATCCCGATTGCAGTCATAGTATTGAATCGGATCACAGTTTAATGTGAATGGTGCAGTTGTTAAGAATGATCTGCAGTAATATGTATGAAGCTAATTTGCTTTTTAAGTTTTTAATTTATGTTGTTGTCTTAATGAGTGTTGCTATTATGTAATTGGTGAATGGTTGTATCTGTGTTACCAGTGTTAAAGACAAATTTCCTTTCTGTGCCGAGCAGGTACTTACACGGTACTTTGCTGGTTGTAAAAGAAAGCGTTACCTAAATTTTAAAATAAACTAAACTAAACTATTCTTCATATATTTTTTTGTGCTGAACGAAAATATAAGAAATCAACAATTATCTATAACCACTTAATAGTACAAGTAAATGGTAAATATTTTTAAACTATCCCTTTAAGATAATGTTTGTTTGTGAGAAGATTTGACTATTTAGACACCTCATGAACTGTTTAGCAGATGGAAAACTAACACTGATGGGAAATGTTAAGCTAATGTGCTCTTTTTAGCTTTTGACACATTGGTGCACGAGTGCCAGCTCAGTAAAACATCAGCAGGAGGTTTGATTTACGTGACACGTCAGGGCCAAGTTTGCCCAGGGGTAAAGCAAGGGATAAGGTACAGTCAGATGACCATTATCGTAAAATGAACCCCAGTTCTGACGCAGAGTAGCTGGGTCTCACATAATCCTGAAGGGGTTTATTTTGCAATATTAAATGCTAATGCTACCAAACAGTTGAAGTCAGCTTTATTAGCCCTCCTGAATTATTAGCCACCCTGTATGTTTTTCTCCAAGTTCTGTTTATTAGATTTATGAACATAATAGTTTTAATACCTCCTTTCTAATAACTGATTTCTTTTATATTTGACATGATAATATTTTACTTGATATTTTTCAAGATACTAATATTAAGGTTTATATGATCAATTAGTCCTGACAGCATATGTTTTAGGTCATTGTAACCTTTTAAACTAAAGTAATCATGTTCTAACTTAATTTTATAAGTTATGCATGCTGTTTTTAGTCAGTTTTTAGTCAGGTTAATTTGATTCAGCTTAAAAATTCAAGGCAACTAGGATTTTTTACAGGGTGGGTTATTTAGGCAAGTTAGGGTAATTAAGTCATTGCATAACAATGGTCTGTTGTGTAGATGATCAAAATAATAATATTGGCCTTAAAATGCCTTTTTTTTAAAAATAAAAACTGCTTTTATTCTAGCCTAAATAAATCAAATAAGACCTTTTTTCCAGAAGAAAAAATATTATCGGAAATACTGTGTACAATTTTTTGCTCTGCTAAACATCATTTGGGAAGTATTTGAAAAAGAAAAAACTCACAGGAGGGCTAATAATTCTGACTTCAGCTTTATATAACACAATAACTCTACATTATCACACTTATTATATGGCTACTTTGTAAATATGTAAACACATTCATTTTATCCTGTCAGAAAAATGAAACTGCTGAATGCAATTAGAGAAACACCAAGGGAGATGCTAGGGATAAGTGATGGTAAAAATATAGTTATTACCTATATAGTTGTTATTATATTACCTATTTTCTTTACTGCCGAAGTTTTAAATACTGTAGCTCAGTGTTTCTCAACCACGGTCCTGGAAGACCACAAACACTACATGTTTCGGATGTCTCTCTTGCCCGACACCCATTACAGGTCTTCCATTCTGCTAATTCCTGCTAATTTGCTGAAAATCTGAATCAGGTGTGTTTGGTTAAGGAGACACGAAAATGTGCAGAGCTGGTGTTCCTCCAAGAACGTGGTTGAGAAACACTGCTTTAGCTCATCCAAAAATGTGATTGCTGTAGGAGTCCCATAGGATGTACTAAAGGTGACAACTCGTATGATTCCCCAAGCCATGACCTCATCAAACTAGTCTCATCAATATATTTGTTTGTTGTGAATGTGCGCCATCTAGTGGCAAACTACATAATGTGCCTTTAAAAAATGTCTGCATAGAAAAATCATTAACAAGAAGCACAACTATATTTAAAAAAAAATAAGAATTGTCTATTTTGATTTCATTTAACTCATTCAATCATTTTTCTTCGGCCTAGTCACTTTATTTATCAGGGGTTGCCACAGCAGAATGACCCGCCAACTTATCGAGCATATGTTTTACACAGTGAATATGTTTTACATAGTGAATGCCCTTCCAGCTCCAATCCATCCCTGTAAAAACACCCATACACTCTCATTCACACACATACACTATGGCCAATTTAGCTTATGAAATTCACGCATGTCTTTGGACTGTGGGGGAAACCGGAGCACCCAACCGGGGCTTAAACCAGTGACCTTCTTGCTGTGAGTGCTAACCACTGAGCCTGTGCTGCCAATTTTAATGAATGACTTTTTTGTTTGGCTACTAAATAAATCAGGTAAAACGTGTATCATTATAAAATATGAATTTATTAGTGATGTGTATGTAATATTTTGTATACATCTGGAAGCTAATGGGACTAATGTTCCCCACAAAAAATGCACTTAGTATTTTAGATCAAATAGTATTTCATGCAATCTGACTGGCTCTGCTTGTGAGCCCAAAAATAGCTGGAGAATAATAACTATGCTTTAAATGAAAGGAATAAATAATAATATTAATAATGGCCCATTCTCATTTTCTTTCATATGATTTTTGTTGTTGGCTTTGCCGTCAAGGGTTTTGGAACTCTAAGACTTGCATTTATCTTCCAACTAACATCTAACATATTTTGTGGTTCAGAACATGGAGTTCTGACTTCAAATAGTTCTTGAAACGTCAGTCCATATCCTCATATTTGTTGTTTTGTCCAAAGAGAGGCCAAAAGATGGAGCGGTGTTTGTTTTCTCTGCAGTTCGCCACCGGAACGATCAAAACCAGTCCAGCTGTGGCGCTGCAGGGAGCTGAGCAGGAAGTGGCTGCTTTGTGATACAGAGGTTACAGGAGTCATATGCATCTCTGTGGGAAGATGTGATTGGCCAGCTGGAGATCTATCGTCTAAGAAAACATTTGCATTTACAGTTCTGTGTCCTCAAAGTTTTGAAGCTACTTAAAGGGATAGCTCACGCAAAAATGAAAACATTCTCATCATTTACTCACTCTTCATTTGTTACAAACGTTTCTCTCTTCTGTTGAAAACAAAGATTTTTTTGAAGAAAGCTAAAAACCTGTAATTAGGGATGCTCGATCAGGATTTTTGCAGCGGATACCGAGTACATTCCTTGTCATGGTGATCGCCAGATACCGAGAACCGATTCTGATGCTTCAAGCTTTATAATGTATAAAGCACATTTTCCCTTTAAGTATGATACTTAAGTGGAGTTTCCTCCTTACCTAAGAGAATAAATTAAAGATCTGCATAAAATCCCCTAAACACGTGTATTATAACCATTAATGTGGACATGTCATGGTCAGAAGGAGAGTTACAGAAAATAATAGGTGAAACAGCTTTAAAAATTGGTAAGAAATGATTAACAACGCAATTTGGAAACATTGCAAATAATGAAAGAAGCATTCTACATGTCTCAATCAAGAAAAGGTATGGAGCACATATATGATGCATAAGAAGTTAATCTAACCAATGTAATGCTTTGAACATCACCGTGCCTCTCTCAATCCGTTCTCTTGCTCACTCAATATCATCGGCATTATTTGCAGGGTATTTTCTCTGATTTGCGGGTGTCGTGGAGCCACTTTGCGGGAGACTCACGGAGGTAGGACAGCGGTTGAACACTAGATAGGAGCGATCGCTCTGTTCGCATCACAGCAGCTCAAAACACTGGATATACAATGGCTGCAACAAAGAGACTATCACTCGCACGAGTTGCACCACATCTGGATATATTTTATTTAGCTGTTGCGACGTGAGCACAGCGATCGCTCATGCCTCTGCGCATTATATACCTCCTAACATGTTGTGGCGCTGCTGATGTATAATATACAGGTGCACACATGCCTCTTCCTCTGCTTGTAAACTCGTAAACAAACATTTGCGATAGGTTCATGAGATTGGCGAGTACTGATTGAGTCATGAAATGTGATTATGGGCCAATACCGATCTCCGGCTGATCAATTGGAGCATCTCTACCTGTAACTATTGACGTCCATATTTGTTTCTCCATACGATAAACGTCAATGGTTCCCAGTTTTCAGGTTTCTTCAAAACATCTGCTTGTTTTAGTTCACCAGAAGAAAAAAACGCATAAAGGTTTGGAACAACTTCAGTCTGTGTTAACAGTATGATGGCCAAAATAATCGAGCAAACCGGTGATGTTTGCGGCGAGGAGAAGTAAACCACAAGAAGATTACAGACCTACACATGAGGAAACGAGTGCTCGCGCACGCACAGGGAATGTTTTCATTATCATCTGTGCGCACAATGTATGCTCTCGCAAGCGAGGTTATGCCTCACAGCGCGTGCGCGATCAGTTTTCCCACTCACTCGCTGGCTCTTCTCTCTACTAATGGCGTAATCTTTAAACCTGCGTCCAATCCCGGCTAATTTCCGGAAAGGGAGGGTAACCAAGAGCATTAGAGAAAACAATTAAACCAAGTCCTGCCCCAAGACTGACAAAAATCCTAAAAATTTTGCACGAGCAAAGAGAAGAGCCAGCGAGTGAGTGAGAGAACTGAAGATCATGCGAGCGCTCTGAGTTCCCCTGTGCACTAGTTTCCTGGTCTGTAATCTTCTCGCGGTTCACTTCTCCTTGTGTTAAAAGTTTTTTGTGACAGTTAATTTGAGTCATGAAAATATCCATAACTACTATACAATGTTATATATTTTGCTGACTTATGTCTACATTATCCCAAATTTAAACTTAAATTTTAACTTGTAACATGGAAGTTCTCCTCTTGTATCAACATGCTAATGATGTAACACCTTCAATTTCTGGTTCAGTTTTATAGAAATCAGGAAAATTCAAAGACGCTGTAATATGTTGCGCGTTTTATTAGACTACACAGCAGCATTATTACAGAATCATATGATATAACAAAACTACTTCTTCTCCTCATGATCACAACCAGAAGAAATAATGTGCTTGACTGTGGCATAATAAAAGCTCTGCTGTTTTTGTGTGGCGCTCGTCAGCAGTTGCCTCATCGCCCTCATTTCACTTCGACAGCTTTCAGTGTAAATCTGCATCATACTACCTTGATTTTAAGTTTTGAATACTTTAGCTCATCCATCCCGTAGGATATATTAAAGCATTGTTTTAAATTACAATTTTAATAAAATATTTAAAATATTGTTTGTAAATACATGCCCTCTTGTGGCAAAAATAACATACTTTTCCTTTAATAGCTGTTCCACAAAATTCTTTTTGATCATTTAATACTGATGTACATGTAAATAGGTAGTACAAATGCAGGTTATGAAAAGGTCAGCAATACACTTACTGTGGTAATTGATGGTGTTGATGAGTCTGACGCCAACATGGGCATGGTTGTAAGTTACCAGCACAATGTCAAAAAGCTCCTCGCTTTCTGGATAGAGCTCCCTCAACCGGGTGTTTACTGCCTCCAGAGCCTGAGAGCAAAAAAAACATGTAATAGAAGTTTTACAATAAAATGAAGCAATCGCAAACTAACGTGTAGTTTTTTTAAAATAATCTAATAATGCTTCATATTTTTAGAAAGTATGATTAGTTATCATTGTGCATTTTTACCTTGACAAATGGGAATGCTGGGCCAGGAGCAAAGGGCTCGTTCTCGTGCTCCACCTGATACCTGAGGTACTCCTCGATGCCTTTCTGCTCAAACACCTTCTGCTCTTTCTCTGTGCGGAACATAACTCGGGAAGACACGGCTATGGTCACTGCGTTTTCTGGTTTGGGCTGAACAGAGATGAGGAAATGGCTATGAGACATTGGTCACAAATGCAAAGACATTTTTAGCCCTTAGCAGGCAAATACCTGGGTATATATTCCTAAAAAACATGCATGTTTTTATCAAGTTGGACTGTCTGACTGACTGTTTAGAAGTCTTCTGAAATCATGCAGTCAAAAAATCAGCATAGGCTCATTGTGAATATGTACCCCTGTCCAAATTTCTGGAGAGCGTGAATTATGTAGTCAGAGGTATGTATGGCTGCATTTCATCTTTAAAATAAACGCTATGGGGTGGTATAACACCGCCGTCGGCTTCTGTTCCTTTTAGCGTACAATTTCTGTATGATAATAGACATGCACAATATTTGACCGGTTTTTTGTTTATTTTTAAAAAATAGTAATGTCACAATCGTGGTTGGGGGAAAAAGAAGCGAGGACCCAAGTGCCGAGTAAATAAGTATTTATTTATAATAAAATAAATTAAAAGGCAAAATAAACAACCCAGAGGCGGGAAAAACTAATAAAACAAATAAATAATGAAAACAAACTAGGATGGAAAGGCTGGCGGGGATCAGGACTGGAACAAGGCAACATACGATGACATATGATGACGAACTGGCACAGGACCGCAGACATGAGGATAATATAAGCAGAAGTAAACACACAGGTGAACAAACAGGTGAATCTAATAAATGTTATGTACATGTAAACATGCACCACGTGTTAAACACAACACCAACAGAAGACTGAACGTGAGACAAGAGTACGCAATGAATGAAAACACTCACCATGCAATCACACACGCAGCGTGCATGTTTCATCCCAGCACCGACCAAAACCAACTAAACTGAGACGCTGGGAATGAAACACCACGCTGCAGACAGACGAACGGGGACACTCAGACGAGAGCGCGCAATTGCAAACACGCACAGACCTCACGCACCCGCATCAAGCGGGAATGCGCACGGTCCAATCGCATTCACAAATAGCGCTCATACAGAGACACACACAATGACAAAAACAGGACAAGACAGAGCTAGCTGACAAATAATTGATGCAGTCATGCACGTGTTTTGACAGCTAAAATGATGGGGATTTGATGCTTTGCAAAATTTGCAGACACTTTTACCGATATTAAAATGCTTTCTTTATGTAAAATTAATTTAAATTGCTTATGCCGATTAAGAAACTTAAATAGGCCTAGGCTATAAAAAAATGCGATCTAAAATGTAAAACTAAATAGATTGCTAAATATTCTAGACACATAACAAAGTGTAAAGCCCGCAGCTCACAACAAATGAAAGTTATTGCGTATCATATTTAACAAACTGTTTACTACAAATTGTATATAATTTTATATAAAAAAGTAATATGAATAATTAAATATTAATCAGATGATGTCATTATGCTGCTGTGCTGTCAGCCAATCATTGCACTGCCATTTTCACAACACATGCAGAGATCTCAGATCAGCCCATCCAGACATTTTAATCTGATAATCAAACTTGTTTGAAGAACCAAATTAGCCAGAGATCAGTATCAAGATAAAATGATCCAAGATCTGTCAAATCTATCAAAGAACAAACCCCAGGATTGCTGGTGATTGTGACACACACAAAATAAATTACACCAGATTAAACTTATTTTATTTTTTTAGGCACAAGAAAATGGAAATAAAACACTGATTTTACAATAAAATATATTATAAGCTTGTTGTAACATATTATTTTTGTTGTTTTATGTATTATTTTATTTTTAATACATGATTAAGTAAAAAATTCTGAAAATTTTGTCAAATTTAAATAATTTATTATAGAAAAAGTTTCTTTTTATCTTTAATTTATATTTATTTCAGTGGTAGAATTTACGTTATTTCAGTTCATTTTAATGACATATTTAATTCAATCTCAGTCAACAAACAAATTTGAATTTTAGGTTTGGTGATTAAAAAAAACACAATTGTTTACCCAAAAATATCAATTATGTCATCATTTACTCACTCTCGTGTAATATGTGGAGAAAATATTATTATTAATTATTTATTATTACTATTATTAATATTAACACACATGTTAAAATAATAAACAACACTAATATATTGCATGAATTAAAATTCAACTCAATTCAAACGCACCCCTTATTTTGTGCAGCACAAGCATTCTGCAAAACATATTTGTGCTGAAAGAACAACATCAGGCTGAGAGAAGTATTGGGTTATTTTCCACAGCAAAAGTGAATTCTGTAAAGTGCATAAAGCAGTAGGAAGAACAATATGAAAAACAATCATCTCTCCAGAGTAGGCAGCCATGCGTCATTCCAGATGATCTTGTTAAGTGAGGAGGCAAGAATAGCGTGATTAATGAAGAGCACATTAGGATCTCGGTGTTCAGAGCAGATCAGACTTGACCGGGACATTTGGGATTATCCAGATCATCACGACTGCTCTGTTCATCAATTTTGTAGGCCCACATAATCACAGCGGTGTAAATATAGCATTTAAAAAAAAGCTACACTGAAAAAAATATATTATTCATTGGGTTTACTAAAATTTTGTTAAAGTAAGTGGTTGCAAACTATTTATATGGGCTAAATTTAAACAAATTAAATTGAGTAAGGTTTACCTTTGTTTGTTTAAATCCAGCCCATATAAATTGTTTGCAACCACTTACCTTATAAAATTTAAGTAAATCCAATAAATATTTTTTTCAGTGTAACCGAGTAAAAAGTACAGATACTAAGCTAACATTAAAAAGGAAAAAAAATTGTACTTTAAATGAGTTCACCCAAAATACGTAATTCTGTTATCATTTACTCACTTTTAAGTAACAACAGAATATTTTATAAAGAATACTGAAAACCAATAACCATTGTATGGAGGATGAAACCTGCAAAAACAATAAATAAATACGTAAATATATAAATAAATGAGTAAATAAATGTAAAAATTCCTGCATAAATAAAACAATAAGTAAATAAATATGCAAATAAACTAATAAATGTATATATAAAATAAACAAATTCCTGTTTAAATAAATATATAAATAATTAATAGTGCGGACAGATAAATAAATATTTAAGAATGAATTAACATTTGAAAGGGGGTAAAAATAAACTTTCAGTTCATCATTTTCTTATTCCCCAGACATTTGTGTGTTTTATTTAATTATTTACCTGCCAGCACTATGAAGTATTTATTTGTTTTTTTACGCAGGAATTTGTGTTTTTTTATATACATTTATTAATTGATTTGTGTATTTATTTATTTTTGCAGTAATCTATGGATTTATTTACTCATTTATTTATATATTTGCAAATTTATTTGTTTATTTATTTATTGTCATACCACTGTCATCCATAGTAGGAAAAAACAAATATGGAAGTGAATGGTTGCATTCTTTAATATGTATTCTTTTGTGTTTGATAGAATAACAAAAAAAAAAAAACTCAAACCGGTTTGGAATAATTCAAGACTGAGTAAATAATGACAGAATTTTACATTTTTGGGTGAACTAACATTTTGACTATAAAAAAGTAATCAATATAAAACAAGACAAATTATTGAATCATCCTCCAAATCGATGGATGAAAGATAAATATCACAAAGTAACTTGTCAGACAGAACTACAATGTTTTGGTTAAAGGGGGAAATAAAATTGTAATGGCAAATGTCAAAAGCATCAATATATCAGTGAATAATAATCAATTAAAAAGTCATTCAAAATTAATATAATCAATATAAATAAATATTAAATAAACATATAAAAAAAACAAATATGCTCCTAATAAGATCAATAAGCAGTCGGGTTTTGCTCATTTTTAGATATTAAATGTATCAGCCTAAATGAAGATGTTGTGATGGCTTTTCTCAAAACTTATGGCATTATTTGCTTCAATTCATGTATTTCGCTGTGAAAATACACAATAAATAGAGTAAAATATTTAATTTTTTAAATCTAAATAACCATTGGTTTCACAAAATCCTGAATGGATGGCAATTTACCATAGAATATCCTTTAAAACATATACTTTAATCAGTTTTTTATATATATGTATCATTGCATCATCTTTTTTTAGAAACCAATACAATATATTTTGAATATTTTGCACTAAAACATGAACTGCAAATCAAATTGTCATCACTAAATATTATATGCACTCGATTAGCTAATGGATAAGTCAGTGGACAGCTTATGCTTAATACAGATATGGGGAGAATTTAAAAGGCTGCTTAAAAATTGGATCTTTTCTCTGGATTTATTAGATATATGGGTTTATGTAAAATGTTAATATTGGTTTTATTCAATAACATTTCTTCCGAATTTCACATATAATTATTGTCATTTACTGTAGATTTATTTTTATTTACCAAAAAATGACAAATGGTCAACATAACAAATATTTTTATTTATTGGAATGGAAAACATGCAATAAAAAAATTAATGAATAAATATATACATGAATAAATAAACAAATAAATGCATGAATAAATAATTAATTAGATACATACATAAAAATGCATTAATAAAAATGCTTGAATAAATAAATACATGAACAAATAAATTAATGCATGAATAAATAAATAAATACATAAATAAAAAATGCATTAAAAATAAATAAATGCATGAATAAATAAATTAATTAATGCATTAATAAATAAAATGCATAAATAAATAAGTGCATGAATATATAGAGACATTAATAAATAAATAAATAAATGAATGTATGAATAAATAAACAAATGAATGCATAAATTATTTAATGCACAAATGAATAATCTTACTTTTAAACAATACTTTAAATGATGACACTTTTATTTAAAATTTGGACAAAATGAAAAGTTTAAACATATTAGATTTTTGTTTTATTGGAAAAACATAAATCGTCATAAATCCAGAGAAACTGATCATTTTTAAGGGGCTTCTTCAGTGTTTCCCTTTTACATCCAAGTAATGTTTCCTACTCATTGCATTATGTTCTCTAGTTGCAAGTGCTGTTTATGTGATTTA